ATATATTACTCATATATCTACATGTGTATGTGTGCATACATAGATATGAGCAAATGAGTTAACTCATCTTTTTCTCAGGCTAAGAAACAATTCCCTCATATCCCACCGCCCCAAAGAAAGCCAATCTAAACTGGAACTTCCTCCTTCTTCTTACCATTCTAGGACAGTGACAAATTCTGCCTTGAGATCCATAAATCTTGGTTGAAGTGAGAACAATTAAAGAAAACTACATGATAATAAACATCCAGAATTGGGGAAAAGATTAGAAAGATTATAAAAAGATTATAAAGATTAGAGCTGTATACATCAAAATATTAGATATTTTCCTAATATCCCTTAGTACTCCCATAAATCCTCTAGTGCCAGGTTCCAGATCCACACGAACAATGCCTTGAGATCCCGTTTACCTTCCCAACATGTGCCTCTACCTTAGAACCAGAATGATATTGAGAAGAAGTCCCAATTACTTAATTTTAGGAAAAGTTTCTTCTCTCCCCTCCCTTTTTCTTCCCCCCCCCCTTTTTTTGGTGATTCTGGTGATTGAGATCAGGAATGCTTTACCACTGAGCTACATCCCCAGCCCTCTTTATTTTTTTAATTTGAGATAGAGTTTTCCTAAATTGCTGAGACTGGCCTCAAGATTGTGATCCTCCTGCCTCAGCCTCCTGAGTTGCTGGGATTACAGGTGTGTGACACTGTAACAGGTTTCTTCTCTCTTTTAAGGAGAGAGTAAAATGGAAAACAATAGCTGTTTTAAAAGACAATTAAAAAAAACTAGTTTATTTTCCCATTCCTTCCTCATTCTGGGGATAAACTGTCAGGTGAAGGATGAGTGGTCTAACCTAGGTTTCCAACTTAACCAGCCAGTTTCAGTAACTTAGCTTTCCTGTTGCACATTTTGTCGCAAATACAGGGATGACCAAGTCTTGGTTATGGTCTACAAACCTGCAAACTTTCTGAAGCTGAGACAGTAGGGAAGGGGAGAACAATGACCRTTCTGTTTCTTTCAGCTGATTTAGCGATAGCTAGCTGTTTCTGTTTTTACCTTGAGCACCCTTAAGATGCTCACTTGGGGCTGGGATTGTGGCTCAGCGGTAGAGCACTCACCTAGCACAGGCGGGACCGGGGTTTGGTCCTCAGCACCACATAAAAATAAAGGCATTGTGCTGTGTCCACCCACACCTCAAAATAAATGTTAAAAAAAAAGATGCTCACCTTTTCTGTCAACAGTGGTCACCTTGGTGACATGGGGTAGGGGTG